AAAATAACTTTTTACCAGATGATTGATAGATATCGATAAGGGACTTGAGGACGTATGTGTGATCAATAGTCGAATGGTTTTTCCTGAAGCCGGCTTGTGTTTCCCCAATTAGACCCCTGACCCATCCAACCATCCATCCATCCTCTAACAGAAACACTCTAATAACTTCCGGCGCGGACACGCTCTAGTCGTTTGCAACAAATGCATTTTGTACCTGTTGTCATAGCACAGACAAGGGTGCTTATTCAAGCTTTGTAATCGTTCACCGAGATATTTAGAGAAGAAGAAGACGAAGAAGAAGAAGAAAATTGTTTTATTAGAGTGTCACATGCTGCAGTACAAAATATATGGACATATAAACATTTCATTAAAAAAACAGCACCCGGCCAGTTGGCCTACGTGACACTAATTACATAATGGTACATTTAAAATATAAAAAAGAAAAAAGAAAAGAAAAATTAGTTATAACTTTGTATATTACTTCACCCACACCCACACCCACACCCACACCCACACCCACACCCGCACCCATACACCCACACCAACACCCACACCCACACCCGCACCCGCACCCATACACCCACACCCACATCCGCATTAAAATCCCGCTCAAAGCATACAAACAGGTAAGCATACAGGACGCTCACAGCAATCTCATATAAAATACTCACAGCAATCTCATGAAAGACAGATACTTTATTTGAGTCTCACCTCGTTACATTAATAATACATTGGAAATAAACTTTTTACAAATATCTTAGTAAAAAAAGCATATGAAATAACGAGCCACTCCCTGCGGAGCTATGAGAGACCATATGACATTGGTAAAAAATACATACATTTTCACATGTATTACACACGATAAAAATGACAGGCTATTCACAAAAGAGAATGATCTATAGTACTACATGGCGTAGAGCATCCGATCTGGTTGTTAACATATTCTTGCAGGTCTTGGCAGTTGTAATAATCAATTCTGCGCTGGACAGCATCATACCTACTTTCCGTAGATCATTAAAACTATCAAAATCAGAACATACGTGACGACATTTGGAAATAAGATAAAACCTAAGACCTTCATAGTGTGGACAATATAATAAAACATGCCGTTCATCTTCTATTGCATCCGTACGAGACGGGCATGTTCTCTCCATTGTATTGGTATAGCGTCCGGTCTCGACTCGTAGCGGTGCGACCCGTGAAGATCCGGGGTAGAATAGGTCTTCAGCAACCAATGCTTGCCGCAAAAGGCGACTATGCTTGTCGTAAAAGGCGACTAACGGGATCGGGTGGTCAGGCTCGCTAACTTGGTTGATGCATGTCATCGAATCCAATTGCGTTGATCGATGCTCATGATATCAATCACTTGATTGTCTGGTCCAGATTCGATTATTTACAGACCGCCGTCATATAGCTGGAACATTGCTGAGTGCGGCGTTAAACAACAAACAATCAATCTTAGCGGTGCTCCACCACATCTAAACCTTTACAGGGCGCTTCTTAGATTTCTAGGGTGACTTTAGCGTACAGATGCTTCAACACTGTAAGTATTCTTAAAGATGCAGTAAGTTCTCAATTTATTGCCACCTGTCCCACGTTTGCTGTTCGTTAATTCCACTGCTGTCCACCACTCTTCTTTAAATTCTTCAAACATTCTGCATTGCACTTCCCATGACACATATTTACTGCCGTATCTGTTGTCAATGGAGATGATGTGCGTCATGCCAAGTGTTTCTAATTTCCCGATTTCTACATGCCATTTTCCAATCTTGAATATTTAGCTTGGTTTACAATTCTGTCTTTTAACTTATAGACACAAATACGGATATATAATGTCAAATGAAACATGTGTTTCAACCTTGACCAAAGCAGTCTACCATATGTTTTCTCACTGTCCCGAGACCGCCTCCGTGGTCTAGTGGTAGAGCGTCCGCCCGGAGAGCGGAATGTCCGAGGTTCGATCTCCGGCCGCGTCATACCAAAAGACGTTAAAAGATGGTACTTGTTGTTACCCTGTCTGGCGCTCGGCATTGAGGGGCTTAAACAAGGACTGGTCGGCTCGGAGTCAGTATACTGTGTCTGAGTCGGGTATTCATGTTAAACTGCAGCATGGTATTTCAGTGTGCTAGCACTATAAATAGGCATCAGTCCGGACTAGTACAAGCAGCCACATACACACATACACACACGTAGATGCACGTCGCTATATAAGGGCAATAATCTTGGACGCAACGTTAAATCCCATTCCACCTCACCCCTCACCCTCCCGCTTTTGTTTGTATTATTGGAGCGGTCGGGAAGCCCAGTGGTTAAAGCGTTCGCTCGTCACGCCGAAGACCCGGGTTCGAATCCCGACATGTGTACAATGTGTGAAGCCCATTTCTGGTGTCCCCCGCCGTGATATTGCTGGAGTATTGCTAAAAGCGGCGTAAAACTATACTCACTCAGTGTTTGTATTATTTGTTAAAATGCGTAACTGGTGCCTTATAGATTCGGTGAAATGTATACGTCCATATTTTAAACGTATATATTTTTAAATTTCATGGGAAAAAAGGTATTGTTTCATATTGTATATACTTTTCTCTGGCTAAGTACATTTGTATATGTTTTAACCTGTTTATATTATAGCTGTACTTTAAATGTAGACTTAGATAAACTCTCAGTCTGTTTGCCATAATTATAACTTAAAACACGAAAATAGTTCAGCACACAGTTGATCTCATTTCACTTCTCCGCAATGAATTTAATTTGTTAATATATTTTTCTCATCTCAACCATGTTTTTCTTTTACACACATTACTGTTACAACGTCTAAATGCCTCTCAAAGACATAAACCTGCTTATTCACACGTACGAGCCGTGAAGATCCGGGGTAGAATAGGTCTTCAGAAACCCATGCTTGTCGTAAGAGTGAGTGAGTGAGTATGGTTTTACGCCGCTTTTAGCAATATTCCAGCAATATCACGGCGGGGGACACCAGAAATGGGCTTCACACATTGTACCCATGTCGGGATTCGAACCCGGGTCTTCGGCGTGACGAGCGAACGCTTTAACCACTAGGCTACCCGACCGCCCCTTAAGAGGCGAGTAACGGGGTCGGGTAGTCGGGCTCGCTGACTTGGTTGATGATCCATGCCATCGTATCCCAATTGCGTGGATCGATGCTCATGATGTCAATCACTGGATTGTCTGGTCCAGACTCGATTATTTTCAGACCGCTATCATATAGCTGGAATATTGTTGAGTGCGGCGTTAAACAAACAAACAAACAAACAAACAAACAGACAAACAAACCAGTTGTCGGACTTTCATTGTGGAAGCCGCGGTGGCTGAGTGCGCTAGATCGCTGACATCGTGTCCTGGCGATAACGAAATGGAAACTATAAAGTCAAACCATTTTCGTCCCGAGACACCCATTTGTCCCCAAATACGATAATATTTTAATTTTGGTTTTTAATTTATCATGTCTAAAGTTAATCATTGACCCGCGCATCATATATTCTAAAAGATGTTTATTACCATTAGCCTTAGTGGGTCGCCTAAAACAACTACAGACAAATGCATTACCCTGATTGTGGGGGGCGGTCGGGTAGCCTGGTGGTTAAAGCATTCACTCGTCACCCGAAGACCCGGGTTCGATTTCCGACATGGGTACAATGCGTGAAGCCCATTCCTGGTGTCCCCCGCCGTGATATTGCTGGAATATTGCAAAAAGCGGCGTAAAACCAAACTCACTCACTCACCCACCCTGATTGTGATAGTGTATTTCACAACATTCTTGAGAACATTATTTACCACAATAACTATAACATATTCCGCAGTCCAAATTTCCCAATTACGATGGAAATTATTTCCTATGAATTTGTTCAAAGAAGAAAACTAAACGTTGCACTACACTTCAATGGAGTATGTCCATGTACCTCTCTTGATCATGACGATAAGAATGGTTTTCTTAATGTTATTTCAAATGACATAGAAATGAAATTTTGTGATTTTAAGTTGACATTGGTCTCTGTGAATGGTTGACTTTGTATTTTAATTGTTTCTTGCAGTTCCCTTTTGAGTGAGTGAGTGAGTTATATCACGGCGTGTCAGCTTAATGTGGGAGGAAAACCCGAAGTGATGCAGGTCTCAGACGTTTACCACTTCGTTGAAACCCACGAGCACGGGTATGATGCTGACAAACCTAGAAACAAAATTGGGGCGAACCGGGATTCGAACCCACAATTATAGGTTTCTGGCGTGCCCAAGGGACGCAACTCTGCATAGCGAATCGCGTCGCCTTAGACGACTTGGCCACCCGTGCCCCCAGTTCCCTTTTGTCCAGTGATTGATGTCGGTATGGGGAATTTTAGTTTGTTGCCAGCAAATATCGTAGTCAGGGTGGCAATAATATTGTTATTTTTGTACATTAATCCAACCTTGTGTTTGTTTGTTTAACGCCGCACTCAACAATATTCCAGCTATATGACGGCGTTCTGTAAATAATTGACTCTGGACCAGACAATCCAGTAATTTACCTCATGAAGCAACAGCCAAGTCTGACCACCCGATCCCTTTAGTCGCCTTTTACGACAAACATGGGTTGCTGAAGACCTATTCTTACACCAACGTTTTGTAAACATATGAGCATGTACATATTAACTCAATACATGAGTTTGCTGTTTAATGTCGCAGTCAGCAGTATTTCAACCATATAACGCCAGCCGGTCTGTAAACAACGTCTGGACCAAACAATCCAGTGACTGATGTTGTGAACATCAACCAAGTCACCGAGCCAAACCACCCGATCCAATAGAGGACCCGGAATCCGATACCCGTGCTCGTGGGTTTCACAAAGGTGGTAAACCTCTGAAACCTGCATCACTTCGGACTTTCCTCCTTCATTAAGCTGACACGCCGCGATAAAACTTGAATACTGTTAAAAGCGGCGTTAAACCCAACTCACTCATCCACTCCAACCCGGAATCCCAGGTAAAAACAAACTCTAAAAGACATCAGAAGACTCAACATTTTATGAGCGTTTCACTCAATTTGCTGCTACTAACAATAATCTGCTGCAACATAACACTATGAATATGAAATAAAAGGTGATGAAATAAGCACATCGATATGAGAGCGGGGAACCATTAGTACTTGGCTTAGGGGATCAAGTGTTGGGTAAAATGAAGCTGCTATACAGAAACACATCTCGCAACACATAATAGACATTTAAGCTGGTAGGGTTGGGTGACTGATTATAAAAGAGAGACTATAACAGTGCTACAACACCTTGGCCAACTAAGATGATCGTAACTCCCATACTTTAACATAGGCTTACAATAGTCGTAGCGATAAGATCGCTTTGTGCAAGGGGGCCCTGGTTTAAATGGTCTACCATTGGCGATGTTACATTAACTAATCATTGCATGATGAAATACAGTTATCTATGAGTATTTAATATTAAAAATGTTTTTTTTTGGTTACAGGTTGAACCATAAGGCTTGCAAAGGGTATTTTGGGAAAGCAATATTTTCATTCGATAGTTCTGTTTGACAGGTTTATGGTTCTTTCTTCAGAGCACGATGCTTGAGAGACCAGTCAAGGGTTATTCCATTTTTGGAGCATGAGCTCTTGGATTGGTCACACGTGTAACCATTTGGACAACAGTGGAGTCCGTCTTGGCAGCACACAGCATTTTGGTACGAGCAGCATCCCCATCCTCCAGTCGACAGCTTACAGCAGGTCTGATTCTGGTCACAAGACACGGTGGCATTGCATGATACCAAGCCATCACCAGGTGATGAGGCTCCGGATTGTTTTCCAGATCCAAATCCTGGTCCAGACTGCTCTGCAGCTACATATCTGGCTCTTGCTATATTTCCAGGTCTGGTTCTTGCTCTGACTTGTTGATTGAAGAACAGGACAGTTGAGGATGGAATTCCAGAGAGCTTGGTCTCTGAGTCTGGAAGACTTGAGAATAATGCAGATGGCCGACACGTGTTGTTCACGCAGCGGAATCCAGCCCTACAGCAGTGGAGCCCATTTATGCAGCATGAAGCATGGGGCAGCGAGCAGCATCTCACTCCGCTTGGTGAACGACAGGCTGTCTGTCCAGGTGAACAAAGGCCAGCATCGTCTTGGGTAACGTATTGTAAGTTGGCTTCACCTTTCTTGCCTAACGACGTCGGTCCAGCTCTCTGTTGTGGAACGTCAGTTATATGTCGTTCGTGTCTCTGGTCTCCAACTTTGAGACCTGGTTGAAGAGTGCCCTGGGGCACTGACTGCTCTCCCACGGGTCCTCTGTAATCAGTTCGTTCCTTGTCAAAGTTCGGAATCTTGGTCAGCAAGAGCGTCGCAAAAACATTTCCTTTGCAGGTCATGGGTATCGGGCCACAGGTCATCCCCGACGGGCAACAGAAATAGCCGGCAGCAGATTTACAGCAGGTGGAGCCGTCTCGGCAGACATACCTATCGTCGCACCTGACCGTGTCTGGAGGACTGTCTTGAGAGAGGACTTCATTCTTGGTGGATTTGTCCAGATCCTTGATCAAGCTATGGCGCTGGGGAGAAACCTTTGTCAGCAAGGGCGTCGCAAAAACGTTTCCGTTGCAGGTCATGGGTGTCGCCCCACAGGTCATCCCCGACGGGCAACAGAAATAGCCGACAGCAGATTTACAGCAGGTGGAGCCGTCTCGGCAGACATACCTATCGTCGCACCTGACTGTGTCTGGAGGACTGTCTTTAGAGAGGACTTCATTCTTGGTGGATTTGTCCAGATCCTCGATCAAGCTATGGCGCTGAGGAGAAACCTTTGTCAGCAAGGGCGTCGCAAAAACGTTTCCGTTGCAGGTCATGGGTGTCGCCCCACAGGTCATCCCCGACGGGCAACAGAAATAGCCGACAGCAGATTTACAGCAGGTGGAGCCGTCTCGGCAGACATACCTATCGTCGCACCTGACCGTGTCTGGAGGACTGTCTTGAGAGAGGACTTCATTCTTGGTGGATTTGTCCAGATCCTTGATCAAGCTATGGCGCTGGGGAGAAACCTTTGTCAGCAAGGGCGTCGCAAAAACGTTTCCGTTGCAGGTCATGGGTGTCGCCCCACAGGTCATCCCCGACGGGCAACAGAAATAGCCGACAGCAGATTTACAGCAGGTGGAGCCGTCTCGGCAGACATACCTATCGTCGCACCTGACCGTGTCTGGAGGACTGTCTTGAGAGAGGACTTCATTCTTGGTGGATTTGTCCAGATCCTTGATCAAGCTATGGCGCTGGGGAGAAACCTTTGTCAGCAAGGGCGTCGCAAAAACGTTTCCGTTGCAGGTCATGGGTGTCGCCCCACAGGTCATCCCCGACGGGCAACAGAAATAGCCGACAGCAGATTTACAGCAGGTGGAGCCGTCTCGGCAGACATACCTATCGTCGCACCTGACCGTGTCTGGAGGACTGTCTTGAGAGAGGACTTCATTCTTGGTGGATTTGTCCAGATCCTTGATCAAGCTATGGCGCTGGGGAGAAACCTTTGTCAGCAAGGGCGTCGCAAAAACGTTTCCGTTGCAGGTCATGGGTGTCGCCCCACAGGTCATCCCCGACGGGCAACAGAAATAGCCGACAGCAGATTTACAGCAGGTGGAGCCGTCTCGGCAGACATACCTATCGTCGCACCTGACCGTGTCTGGAGGACTGTCTTGAGAGAGGACTTCATTCTTGGTGGATTTGTCCAGATCCTTGATCAAGCTATGGCGCTTGGGAGAAACCTTTGTCAGCAAGGGCGTCGCAAAAACGTTTCCGTTGCAGGTCATGGGTGTCGCCCCACAGGTCATCCCCGACGGGCAACAGAAATAGCCGACAGCAGATTTACAGCAGGTGAAGCCGTCTGGGCAGACAAATGTATCGTCGCATCTGACCGTGTCTGGAGGACTGTCCTGAGAGAGGACTTCATTCTTGGTGGATTTGTCCAGATCCTTGATCAAGCTATGGCGCTGAGGAGAAACCTTTGTCAGCAAGGGCGTCGCAAAAACATTTACTTTGCAGGTCATGGGTGTCGGGCCACAGGTCACCCCCGACGGGCAACAGAAATAGCCGACATCGATTTTACAGCAGGTGAAGCCGTCTGGGCAGACATGCCTATCGTCGCACCTGACTGTGTCTGGAGGACTGACCTGAGAGAGGACTTCATTCTTGGTGGATTTGTCCAGATCCTTGATCAAGCTATGGCGCTGAGGAGAAACCTTTGTCAGCAAGGGCGTCGCAAAAACATTTCCATTGCAGGTCATGGGTGTCGCCCCACAGGTCATCCCCGACGGGCAACAGAAATAGCCGACAGCAGATTTACAGCAGGTGGAGCCGTCTCGGCAGACATACCTATCGTCGCACCTGACTGTGTCTGGAGGACTGTCCTGAGAGAGGACTTCATTCTTGGTGGATTTTTCAAGATGTTCGAGCAGCGACAACCAGCAAGTCTGACCACATCCTTCTACGGCCACGCCCACTGCCACCAACACCAACAGCAGATGGAACTATGGACAAAACAACAGCAATATAGTTTCGAATCAAAGTAATCCACGCAATTAGATGTAACGATGACACATTCTCGTTTTACTAATCACATGATATATTATACAGTTTTAACACCGTTGTGTCGAAGTGCATGTGACCTACGTAAATACTTCGAGTTATCCGAGGTAAGACACAATCGAAAACTCAGCATGCATTTACCGAAACACGAGTTATCCGAGTAGAATTATGCTTGAAGTACGCGATTAGGACTGGAAAATCACTTCAAGACAAGGGTAACTTCGACACATCCGATGCGACACATTAGAGGTTAAATAATGATGAATAAAGAAGGAAAACGCCGGGACCATGTACGTTCGATATATTAAAGTTCGACACAACGGTGTTTGACTATATATGATTAATTTGTTTCTTTGGTTTGTTTCAGGTAAGTTAAAGTCTTGGATCCGGTTGTATTAAACCTTCATTAACTAATGGGTTTATTAAACCCTGACGATTAACTAACTTCCTCATTTGTTAATGGCGGCATTAAAATGGGCTGCACAAAGCTATCATTATACTAACATCAAATAACGATACTCTTGGAAGAGGCGACTAACGGTATCGGGTGGTCAGGCTCACTGACTTGGTTGATGCATGTCATCTTATCCCAGTTGTATGGATTGATGCTCATGACACTGGATTGTCTGGTCCAGACTCGATTATTTACAGGCCGCCGTCATATAGCTGGAATATTGCTGAGTGCGGCGTCAAACAACAAACAAACAAACAACAAACTTCAAGTGTAAAACTGCCATTAACATGCCATTAAATTAGGCCACTGTTCCACAATTCAGTTTCACCAAATAAGCACTGTTTTTCTTTTCCTCATCTGCCAAATGGCTTCAGAAATAGACTTTCTCTCGACTTGACAGTTTGGTAAAAAGTTAAAATTGGCAAATGCATCACTTCTGATGTTCATTTTGTGTTTTATTTCACCTGTTTGGGTATCAATGCGAAACCACAAAGCTTTCATCAAATCCCTCCCTTTTATCAACGTAGCGCACATTGTCAGGCACTCGCACCCCTCGCACTGCTGTATTTGTCATATGCGACTCAATTTTGGATTAATTTTGTCATATGCGACTCAATTTTGTATTTGTCATATGCGACTCAGTTTTGTCTTTGTCATATGCGACTCAGTTTTGTATTTGTCATATGCGACTCAGTTTTGTATTTGTCATATGCGACTCAATAAAGGAACATTGCAGCCCGAATTTTGGTAGAATAATACCAAACGTTTCTTCAAGCTCTGCTCGGATCACCCCAATCACCAAGGTTATCTCGGATAGAATTGGGAGGAATCCGTGTTTTAACAGAAATCGCTAGGTCCACAAGTTCACGTGACTCTCATTTCAATACACAATCTGGCGTCAGTCGTGGCCCTTATATTAATGTTCCTCCATAACAAAATATGTACCAAATGTCTATGAACCATAAACAAACACAGCCCGTCAAAAGCAAGTATACCCATGTTTGATGGTGGCAAAAAAAGAAACAAACAAGAAATGCTTATTCGATGGTGATGTATTTGATACGACAATCCAGTGATTAATATCATGAACATCGATCCAGGCAATTGGGATCGATGACATGCTTCAACCAAATCAGCGAGTCTGACCACCCGATCCCGATAGTCGCCTCTTAAGACAATCATGGTAAGGTACAGAATACGCCGAGGTGTATTATGAACATATACTGTCGGCCACACAAAATCCTGAACATGTTTATCGAAATGAGTTCTTGTGACCAGCTTTTGTGATTTGCATTAGATGACATTACATGCATAACAAATATTATGCGCCAATGACATATTGTTGCGTTTATATAATACATAATATGCAAAAATAATTTATTCTTCTTTAAATTCAAGTTCCCACAAAATTCAGATTGAACACTTTTGATTAAGTGATTTGTAAAAGGCCAAAGCTGGCAGCTGGGAATATAAAACAATGATTTAGTTACAGGCGTTAAAAAAATATTAATCGCTGCACATGTTCTAAAATAATTTTTTGAGAAAAATAAAATGTGCGGCTTTTTTCCGAGACAAATGCGCTGGTACAAAACAAGGTATACTCACAAGTAGCATCCTAGAGGACCATTGCTCTCGAGAACCAGTGCCCCACCGAAACGGTTCTCACGACATCTTCCTTTTATACCCTTTCGGTGTCCTGCCACGCGCAACAATCGTCATGCCATGCTCTTTATTTCGTTCCTTTATCGTAAATGTTTCCTCATAATTTTTCCTAAAAGTTTATATTTCCTGCTGTATTTATTTTGTAGTTTTCCTTGCATGTTTGTATAGTAAGGGTTTAGATATGGTTATCGCATCATGTTACATCGGCATTAATAGCAGTATTTCCTTATGTTTGGACGATTTAAACAATGATAATTTAATATGAGACGAAGTCATTTTCGTTCGATTACACACATGGTCACGTGTTGGCTCACCTTGCCATCGTCAATGCGAGCTTATGTCATGGGTGAGTGAGTGAGTATGGTTTTACTTCAAGCAATATTCCAGCAATACACAGCAGGGGAAACCAAAAATGGGCCTTTGAACGTTAAATCCACGATGGGAATCGAAGCTGGGTCTTCGGCGTGAAGAGCGAACGCTTCACCAGTGCTCCCTCACTGCCCCCTTCGTCATCAAGGGGGCACGGGTGGCCCAGTCGTCTAAGGCGCCGCGATTCGCTGTGCAGAGTTGCGTCCCTTGGGCACGCAAGAAACCTATGATTGTGGGTTCGAATCCCGGTTCGCCCCGATTATGTTTCTAGGTTTGTCAGCACCATACCCGTGCTCGTGGGTTTCACCGAAGTGGTAAACGTCTGAGACCTGCATCACTTCTGGCTTTCCTCCCACATTAAGCTGACACGCCGAGGTATAACTGGAATACCGTTAAAAGCGGCGTTAAAACCAACTCACTCACTCACTCACTTTGTCATCAAGGGTCTTCGTCCATTATTCGTCTGTCCACCCACCCGTTCGTTAGCAATGAAATTAAAATTCTTCTCCATAACTTCAATATAATATTTTTACATGTTATACATGTCTCTGGCTGGAACTTAGAACTTTTGGATCCAATCAGCAACCATCGGACAAATATTTTCAAATGTTTAGATGGTCACAGGATCTTCCTGATGATGAAGCACATTTTGCTTAAAATCTATTGGTTTTCCAGTTTTGTCAATCAGATCCTCTCTGTCTTCAGAAGAATGTGTATACTTTGCTCAACCCTAATATAGGGGCGGTCGGGAAGCCTAGTTAAAGCGTTCGCTCGTCACGCCGAAGACCCGGGTTCGATTCCCGACATGGGTACAATGTGTGAAGCCCATTTCTGGTGTCCCCCGCCGTGATATTCCTGGAATATTGCAAAAAGCGGCGAAAAAACCATACTCACTCACTCACTCAACCCTAATATATATTTTGGGGATTATTCCGTCACATTATAAACTGATTTGAAGGTCAAGGTCACTACTAAAAAAATATGAATGCACGATAGCCCGTGATCCCAATAATTTGAGATTTTAGGACGGTCAGCTAATTGGTAATACCTGACCTCTGACCCTAGACAATACACGTTTTTTGTGTGTGAAAGGTCGGGGTCATAGAAAACAGGGTAATTGACCAGTGATCTTCCGACTGTCGAAAACCGTCGCCTCAAGTCCGAACTCCCTGACTATGATTGATATAATGCTATATGATGATTCTGTTACTTTGAACCCATAGCCACTAGGGCAAATTTGCAAAATTGTTATACCCAGGAAAAGTAGATCCTCGTCGCAACCGCTCTTTCCTTATAACTGTTGTGTGTTGTTTCATTTCCACCTCCACCACCACGTGAACCAGACCCTCCCCTCCTCCCCCTCCCCAAGTCACACTAATTATTTAGTTCCCTATTACAGTGGTGCGAGGGTAAACTCGCAAGTCGGTGTGATATACCTTCACTCTGTTACGATATATACAGCTGGCCTCAGACCATGAAAATTTCCTTCATGGCTTTGAGTGAGTGAGTGAGTGAGTGAGTGAGTGAGTCGCTTTTACCAATATTCCAGCAATATCACGGCGGGGGACACCAGAAATGGGCTTCACACATTGTGACCATGTCGGAAATCGAACCCGGGTCTTCGGCGTGACGAGCGAACGCTTTAACCAGTAGGCTACCCGACCGCCCCCTCTCAACAAAATACAATGTGTAATCTTTTATTAAGTCATTTAAGTCACTCCAAACATTTGTCTCCCTCCCGGGTCGTTGTAAAACGTAAAGGGATGGGGCGGGGTTGGGTGGGGTTGTATTGTGGTCCGAGGGCAGCTTCATTAAGGAGGTAACCTCAGGTAACCTCAGGTAACCTCAGAGTTTTCGATGCGCTACTTCGCACATACTTTCTTCAGGTCGTGAGTGTAATGTGATTGGATGGCTGTTTTTTAGCGTCGTCTATTTCGACTCGGTCTCATGGTGGCGTATAGGTGAAGTGTATTTATCATCCAAAACTGGCTCCCACAGGAGATATTACTTGGATGAGATCAAGCGATATCTACACTGTAGATATCGCTGCAATGAAATTACATCACAATGCTTTGCAGACCATTGTGACGCCACTGGTTACCATGACATCACTAATGGCTCTGCTACTGAAGCTGTTAGCAGTACTTTTTTACACTGAAGACACTGCTTATTACTGTCAACAAATTGAAAAAGCTGGAAGAATGATGTTGGATGATAAATAAAATCTCACCCTTGTGTCTTTTGATATCAAATATATCAACACTCGTTGATAAAAGTGGCAAAAATCCTCGGCAAGCCTCGGAATTTTTCCACTTTTATCAACTTGTGTTGATATATTTGATATCAAAAGACACTCGGGTGAGATTCTCTATTTATCATACATACAGAATTGAGACATAATACACTGTTGTTTGTTTGTTTGTTTGTTGTTTAGCGCCGCACTCAGCAACATTCCAGCTATATGACATCCTTGATGCGTCTTCCACGTAGGGCAAATTTCATTTGCCGGAAAAGGAAATAGTCACTGGGGTCTAAGTCTGGGCTGTGGGGTGGGTGATTTAACTTTATAGCCCAGACTTAGACCCCAGAAGACGCTTCCAGGATGACGAGGACATAAAGGCTGCCACACAGGCGTGGTTAGAGGGCCAATCTGCGGATTTCTATAAAAGTGGTATTTAAAGCTGTGGGCATGGGTGTCTTCCATCTGTATCACATTCAGGCTCACTACCGATGTTCTGTGGTGTTTTTTCCCTTCAGCGTGAGTGTCTGACATGCCGTCTTTATATACCCTCATTGCACGTTTAGTTTCGGCTGCCCAAACTGCACGTGTTTCTTACTTTTAAAAAACGTGCCGTGCACGTGTATCACTTTCTGCAAAGAGTGAGTGAGTGAGTTTGGTTTAACGCCGCTTTTAACAGTATTCCAGTTATATCACGGCGTGTCAGCTTAATGTGGGAGGAAAGCACGAAGTGATGCAGGTCTCAGACTTTTACCACTTCGGTGACACCCACGAGCACGGGTATGGTGCTGACAAACCTAGAAACATAATCGGGCCGAACAGGGATTAGAACCCACAATCATAGGTTTCTGGCATGCCCAAGGGACGCAACTCTTCACAGCGAATCACGGCGCCTTAGACGACTGGGCCACCCGTGCCCCCTTCTGCAAAGAACATTGTGTTTTGACGATGTTCATTTTTTTAGCATTGATTTAGTTTGAACTTGTGTTTTCAAATTTTGCAATTTTATATCTAAAGTGGTAAAGTTTCTTTTGGCCGTCTGTTTATATGAAGACAATACGACCAGTAAAGCATATCCACACACAGGTATTAGTTCAACCAAAACAAAGATATGCTCCAGTACCTGTCGTACTCTGGTTTAATTTGTTTGTTTTTATGATTTCGAATATTATCCTCGGATGTATACACCCACCTATTACTTAATGTTTATAGTCGTTCATGACCTGTTGTAATTCAAACCTTTAATGCGCTTAACAAACTGTCTATTGGTTTCTGAACCATAATGTGTTTTGGGTGGCGAGTTAATGTGTAAATTATCAAATAGAGTTCCTTGTTATTCTAACAATTCTTGTTATTGGCAAACTTAGAAGCCTAAACTCCTATAGGCTTGTTCATGATGATGCAATCTGAAAAATGCAATCTATTCACGATGATTCATGTGCCGAAAATGCAATCTATTCATAATAATTCATGTGCCGAAAATTCAATCTATTCATTATAATTCATGTACCGAAAATGCAATCTATTCATGATAATTCTTGTGCCGAAAATGCAATCTATTCATGACAGGATTGATCGTTCAAGAAGTTTCTGGATGGGGCGATTTAAAATACACTCTGACAAGAGGCCTTTTTCGGGCTGATTTGTTTCTAATCTACTTGCCATGTGCGAACTGGATACGTATTTGAAAACATGGACGTTCAACAGTCACAATAATCTAAACATTCGTGAATGCACTAAGGGTCTGCCACGTATTGCTGCTGACGCTAATTTGACCACTGTATTTTTAATAATTTTCAAACCTAAAACAGTGTGTATATGTATTTTTCATTGATCTTGTTTGGCCATTTACTGATTTCCCATTGTACTTCTGTATGTACCGATTTCCGGTTTAACCCCTGCCTTACAATTTGGAAATCACCACGTAACAGTTTTTTAGGCTCTGAACCAAACTTCCCATCGCTGGTGGCTTCACACGTGTATACTTGGCACATCTGACGTCGCAATGGCGGATGACGTCCCGTCAAATCAACACCTATGACAGCCCATCTATAGCTCGGAGACCTGCCTCACGAAGATGTTATCCTTCGCAATCTTGGATTGGCTACTGTTGTAGATGTTGCTGTGGCACACCTGTACCTATCCTGCAAATGACGTAGTCGTATGAGGACGTGCTGTGCTGCCTTTGTAACATGATTGGCCTTAGTAGGTCAAGTGACATATCATGCTTTTAGTTCCGATACTAAAATACAACATGTATGTGGTGAGGTGAAATGGGGTTTAACGTCGCGTCCAAGATTATTGCACTTATATAGCGACGTGCATGCACGTGTATGTGTGTGTGTGTGGCTGCTTGTACTAGTCCGGACTGATGCCGATTTATAGTGCTAGCTCACTGAGATACCATGCCGCAGTTAAACATGAATACCCCACTCAGACACAGTATACTGACTCCGAGCCGGCCAGTCCTTGTCGGTCCAAATCTGTAGTTGGTGCCCCGGGGCACATTGAAAACCATCTCATCTGCGATTCTCATTTTTCTCGTTACTAACTTGCCAGGCTCGGCGACTTTCGCGTCATATTACCCTATTTAATCGGACGTTGTTCACATTATCAACCATTGGTGTATTTGGCTCAGACTCGACTTTTTTACAGGTCACCGTCCGATATATCATACACGCTTTGCTTTCGTACGCTACCTTTTCACTCAAATACATAATTGAAAATATATCCATAGTATGACATGACCTACGGATGGTAACTCGTGGCAACAAGCTTTCATTGTCCTCTTATCATTTACAGTGACGGTTCTATATTGAAAGTGCGGCAAAAATTTAAAACGAAACTTAAAAAAACCCTCTGCGTCAATGTACGGATGTGTGGTGATTTACTGCCTCTGTTATACGGAAGCTATTATTTATTAATAACTAAACCTGCTTTCATGTGCAAAAAATGTGAAACTAAACCGCCATTGTTTGTTAAATGGTCGCATCGTAAAACCAATTCCTAGCTTTTCGGGTAAAATATTGATACATTAACGAGCCAAAGAAACGATATCAAAATTAAGTTTATTAAAATTTGGATTCGAACACGAATAATGTTCCCAAATCACGTAAAATCAAGTGCAAAAGTCACGGATCCAACAAGGAATCTTAAGTGTAATGACGGACTAAATAATATAAATTATACTCACAGCACGATGACAGGTTAGCGTATGTAAAACATGCCACTCAGACACGGTATACTGACTACGAGCCGATCAATCCTTGTTTAGCCCCTCAATGCCAAGCGCCAGGCAGGGTAACAGTAAGTGCCATCTTTCAACGTCTTTAGGTATGACAGTGTAGAAGGGCATGCAGTGTAGACAGGACAGACAGGACAGGTAGTGTAGACAGGACAGACAGTGTAGACAGGACAGACAGGACAGGCAGTGTAGACAGGACAGACAGTGTAGACAGGACAGGCAGTGTAGACAGGACAGACAGGACAGACAGTGTAGACAGGACAGACAGTGTAGACAGGACAGACAGTGTAGACAGGACAGGCAGTGTAGACAGGACAGACAGGACAGGCAGTGTAGACAGGACAGGCAGTGTAGACAGGACAGGCAGTGTAGACAGGACAGACAGTGTAGACAGGACAGACAGGACAGGCAGTGTAGACAGGGCAGACAGGGCAGGCAGTGTAGACAGGACAGACAGTGTAGACAGGACAGGCAGTGTAGACAGGACAGACAGGACAGGCAGTGTAGACAGGACAGGCAGTGTAGACAGGACAGGCAGTGTAGACAGGACAGACAGTGTAGACAGGACGGGCAGGACAGGCAGTGTAGACAGGGCAGACAGTGTAGACAGGGCAGGCAGTGTAGACAGGGCAGACAGGACAGGCAGTGTAGACAGGGCAGACAGTGTAGACAGGGCAGACAGGACAGGCGGTGTAGACAGGGCAGACAGGGCAGGCAGTGTAGACAGGGCAGACAGGACAGGCAGTGAAGACAGGGCAGACAGGACAGGCGGTGTAGACAGGACAGACGGGACAGGCTGTGTAGACAGGACGGACAGGACAGGCGGTGTAGACAGGACAGACAGGACAGGCGGTGTAGACAGGGTAGACAGGACAGGCAGTACAGGCGGTGTAGACAGGGCAGACAGGACAGGCGGTGTAGACAGGACAGACAGGACAGGCAGTACAGGCGGTGTAGACAGGGCAGACAGGACAGGCGGTGTAGACAGGACAGACGGGACAGGCGGTGCAGACAGGACAGGCGGTGTAGACAGGGCAGACAGGACAGGCAGTACAGGCGGTGTAGACAGGGCAGACAGGACAGGCGGTGTAGACAGGACAGACGGGACAGGCGGTGTAGACAGGGCAGACAGGACAGGCGGTGTAGACAGGGCAGACAGGACAGGCGGTGTAGACAGGGCAGACAGGACAGGCGGTGTAGACAGGGTAGACAGGACAGGCAGTGTAGACAGGGCAGACAGGACAGGCAGTACAGGCGGTGTAGACAGGGCAGACAGGACAGGCGGTGTAGACAGGACAGACAGGACAGGCGGTGTAGACAGGGCAGACAGGACAGGCGGTGTAGACAGGGCAGACAGGACAGGCGGTGTAGACAGGACAGACGGGACAGGCGGTGCAGACAGGACAGGCAGTGTAGACAGGGCAGACAGGACAGGCAGTACAGGCGGTGTAGACAGGGCAGACAGGACAGGCGGTGTAGACAGGACAGACGGGACAGGCGGTGTAGACAGGGCAGACAGGACAGGCGGTGTAGACAGGGCAGACAGGACAGGCGGTGTAGACAGGGCAGACAGGACAGGCGGTGTAGACAGGGCAGACAGGACAGGCAGTGAAGACAGGGCAGACAGGACAGGCGGTGTAGACAGGGCAGACAGTACAGGCGGTGTAGACAGGGATGACGGGACAGGCAGTGTAGACAGGGATGACGGGACAGGCAGTGTAGACAGAGATGACGGGACAGGCGGTGTAGACAGGGTAGACAGGACAGGCAGTGTAGACAGGGCAGACAGGACAGGCAGTGTAGACAGGGCAGACAGGACAGGCGGTGTAGACAGGACAGGCGGTGTAGACAGGACAGACAGGACAGGCGGTGTAGACAGGACAGACAGGACAGGCGGTGTAGACAGGGCAGACAGGACAGGCGGTGTAGACAGGACAGACAGGACAGGCGGTGTAGACAGGACAGACAGGACAGGCGGTGTAGACAGGACAGACAGGACAGGCTGTGTAGACAGGGCAGACAGGACAGGCGGTGTAGACAGGACAGACAGGCGGTGTAGACAGGACAGACAGGACAGGCGGTGTAGACAGGACAGACAGGACAGGCGGTGTAGACAGGGCAGACAGGACAGGCGGTGTAGACAGGGCAGACAGGACAGGCGGTGTAGACAGGACAGACAGGACAGGCGGTGTAGACAGGACAGACAGGACAGGCGGTGTAGACAGGGCAGACAGGACAGGCAGTGTAGACAGGGCAGACAGGACAGGCAGTGTAGACAGGGCAGACAGGACAGGCGGTGTAGACAGGGCAGACAGGACAGGCGGTGTAGACAGGACAGACAGGACAGGCAGTGTAGACAGGGCAGACAGGACAGGCGGTGTAGACAGGGCAGACAGGACAGGTGGTGTAGACAGGGCAGACAGGACAGGCAGTGTAGACAGGGCAGACAGGACAGGCGTTGTAGACAGGGCAGACAGGACAGGCAGTGTAGACAGGGCAGACAGGACAGACAGTACAGGCAGTGTAGACAGGGCTGACGGGACAGGCAGTGTAGACAGGGCAGACAGGACAGGCAGTGCAGACAGGACAGGCAGTGTAGACAGTGTAGACAGGACAGGCAGTGTAGACAGGGCAGACAGGACAGACAGTACAGGCAGTGTAGACAGGGCTGACGGGACAGGCAGTGTAGACAGGGCAGACAGGACAGGCAGTGTAGACAGGACAGGCAGTGTAGACAGTGTAGACAGGACAGGCAGTGTAGACAGGGCAGACAGGACAGACAGTACAGGCAGTGTAGACAGGGCTGACGGGACAGGCAGTGTAGACAGGGCTGACGGGACAGGCAGTGTAGACAGGACAGACAGGACAGGCGGTGTAGACAGGACAGACAGGACAGGCGGTGTAGACAGGGCAGACAGGACAGGCAGGGGAGACATGGGAGATAGGACAGGACAAAACATTTATTCTAGTGAATTACAGTCCAGTGCAGTCACTGGCATTAAATGTATTTACTTATTCTTCCAGCTGTAAAGATCTTGCTTGGTATTATATGGTGTTGTTTTAATGGGTGTTTTTATTACGATAACCGACAATATGTTCTCAAAGATCTGTAAATAACGAAATGAAAATACAACATTTACCGCCATAGTCTTGGATGTGTCACGTGATCAGACTGAAATCATATGAAGCGCCTGTAAAATATCTCTGAGAACGTGCCAAAAGATGAATTGATTTCTGCCACCTCTTTTGCAGTCGCTATGCGCCCAATACGTTGATAAGGCTGACTTGTCTAAAAAAAACCCCAAATATATCTGTTTCAGTTGAATAGCCATGTCTACCGAAGATAAAATCTTCATTCCGGCCTAAATTGATGTGTATGTACTCTTTACGAGAAAGAAAGCATTTTTTATGCACACAGATAGAAACAAGAGCGACAATGTTTGATGTGGTCTAGCCGAAAGTCTACACGTCTCTCGTGCATTTTCGAAGTATACGGCTGTTTTTCGTCTATCTGTATTATCTAAAAAGCAAGTTCTGTTGCTAGGATACTGACAGCTTGAAAGTTTGTAATATTTATGATAAAAGAATGTTAAATAATAAAACGAGAAATTCAATGAAATCGGTAATAATGCGATACATATCCATATTGATATTTGACAATTTGGGGTAAGAACCGGTCCGTAGTATTTGTTTGTTTGTACCAGCCGATCCCGTTAGTCGCCTTTTACGTCAAGCATGGGTTGCTGAAGACCTATTCTACCCCGGATCTTCACGGCTCTTGTGATTAAGCAGGTTTATGTCTTTGAGAGACATTTAGAAGTTGGAACAGTTATGTCTGTATGTGTATATATTATCTAGTAAAAAAACAAACATGGTTAAATAAAAAAAATATATTAACTGACCTGACCTGACCACCCGATCCCGTTAGTCGCCTCTTACGACAAGCATGTCGCCTTTTACGACAAGCATGGGTTGCTGAAGACCTATTCTACCTGGATCTTCACGGGTAGCACTGCTCAATGAGTGAGTGAGTGAGTTTGATTTTACGCCGCTTTTAGCAATATTCCAGCAATATCACGGCGGGGGACACCAGAAATGGGCTTCACACATTGTACCCATGTCGGGAATCGAACCCGGGTTTTCAGCGTGACGAGCGAACGCTTTAACCACTTGGCTACCCGACCGCCCCCACTGCTCAATGAAAAGGGTTGAACAGTTCTTACTATTTATAGCGGAATCTATCAAAATTATAATAGTTAGGATCAGTGAATGCTTGATTTATCTTTTATAAAAAAATAAGAAAAAAAACAACCTTTGATGGTCTGATACAGTATAACATTTAACTTCATCTGTGCACAGGAACGGGTCATGACGGGGTTATGCCCCTTGTGGATTGCGGGTGATTTCAAGGATCACGACAAATTATTACTAAAATCGATACAACTTGCCACGGGTTTTGACGTGACTCGATTGTAGTATTAGATTCTGGTTGGAGTCTGGTCACCGGGGACGTAATGTGTTTTTCGGGCCCTGGTGCCCTTCCTTATTGGATCAGTCAAGTGTAATTGAATAAGTCCACACGTAGACGACTTTACTGAAAGATGCGTCCATAACTATCGAACTGCAACTCGCCATGTGAACTGTGCTCAACATCGCTGATGTGATATGAAATTGTGAGCTTGTTAGGTGAAGATATCTAGTTAAACAATAACCCTACCCCAATCCCCAAAACAACAACAACAACAACAACAACAACAACAACAACAATAATAATAATATGAAATAATGAATGTAATGTGATGTAATATAATATAATATAATATAATATAATATAATATAAAATAAAATAATATAATATAATAATGATGAGACTACTACTGCTGCTGCTGCTACTACTACTACTACTACTACTACTACTACTACTACTACTACTACTACTACTACTACTACTACTACTACTGCTGCTGCTGCTGCTGCTACTACTATTACTGCGTGGATCGATGTTCATGATGTCCATCACTGGATTGTCTGGTCCAGACTCGATTATTTACAGACCGCCGTCATATAGCTGGAATATTGCTGAGTGCGTCGTTAAACAACAAACAACAACAACATCTACTACTACTACTACTACTACTACTACTACTACTACTACTACTACTACTACTACTGGGCGGTTGGGTAGCCTAGTGGTTAAAGCGTTCGCTCGTCACGCTGCAGACCCGGGTTCGATTCCCGACATGGGTACAATGTGTGAAGCCCATTTCTGGTGTCCCCCGCCGTAATATTGCTGGAACATTGCTAAAAGCGGCGTAAAACCAAACTCACTCACTCACTCTCTCACTACTACTACTGCTGCTACTAAAAATAAAATGATGATAAATATACAAGTCAGACAACCAGTGGTAGATATTTGGAGCAAAGTCACAAGGAATGATCACAGGCAATAAAGTCACTGAGTGTGGCCACCCAATCCTCTTTATGCCTCTCACGGCAACAGTGTTGGAGGCCTATTCTAACACGGGTCCTTTGGGGCCTTGCTTGAGGGCGGTGTGTCAGATCCGCGATGGCATGCAATCTCATTCGCCGCACCTTATTTGTCATGGGTTTGAGAATATTACCTAGGGACATGGGTCATAGGGATGAGTAATCGTTGGAAAGATGTAAACAAACTTTTAAAAACAACTACCTAGGGACATGGGTCATGGGGATGAGTAATCGTTGGAAAGATGTAAACAAACTTTTAAAAACAACTAGACATTCGGACCTATTTCCCCATACAGCATTTCGCTGCGGGGAAACATTGACCCATTTCCGTTAAGCGGGTCTGTCTGTAGAGAGGGCCGAAGACAGGCCTGCACATATCGCTAAGCGGGAAACGTTGACCCAGTTTCCGTGTATCGAGATATTAGCACTTTTGGACAATGTCAATAATTTATGGTTAAAAATAACAAACGCACTCACAACGTTGTGGGTTTCAATTTTAACAATATCTGCACGTCTCCATCTGCAGATCAATTTTAACGACTCACAAGAAGTCAACATAAGCCAATCAGAAAGCAGCTCTCTCGAGCGACACGGGACCAGTTTCAAACTGATGACTTCTATTCCAGTCTATGCTCAGAAAAAAAATATTTTGACGAAGTTTCGATTTAATATTTGAAAACAAATGAACATTCTGGAATATATAAAGGATGGCTTCAAAGTCTTTTCCTTTCAAATATTGATCCCATTGAAGCGAGAGATAGACAATGATTTGTGACAGATTCAGTCGGACATCCCGTAACTGTCGTTCGGAATATCCCGTGTTAACCTTTTCGAGGTTGCATAAATAGAAAACACATTCCGACTGTCACTTTCCTGATCTGGTAAGCGACGCTCTGATTGGTCGTGTGAAAGATTATTCTCACGTGACCCGTAATGGGATGTCCTCAGATCTTTTTACAGAAAAGGCTCATCGATGATAAAGTATTGTCCAAAATCAACAAAATGACAGAGGAAGGTAAAACACACGTGGGATGCCGAATAAGAGCATGTGTTCCTAGCAAACTATGCTTGTAAGACGAGATTTACAGGATATGATAGTCAGGTTCGGTGACTTGGTTGATGTGTGTCATCATAGCCAAATTGCGTGGATCGATACTCATGATATCAATCACTGGATTGTCTTATCAAGACTTGATTATTTACAGATCACCATTATATAGCTGGAATATTGCTGAGTGTGTTGTACAAACCAACAAATACTACGGACATATTCTAACCCTAAACTGTCAATAATCAATGTGGATATGTATCCTATCAGTTCTGATATCATTGAATTTCTCGTTTTATTATATAACATTCTTTTATAAAAAATATTAAAAGCTTCATTTTCAGACTGCTGTCAGTATCCTAGCAACAGAACTTACGGTTTAGAGTGTGGCGTTAAACACTCACACAATGGTTTGTTAATCTTGAATTTTAATCCTGCCTATTTCAGTGAAATGGTTCTTTTCGGATTAACGGGGTTAGACTATTCACAGTTGCTATTGACCCTCATTACACTTGCATTACGCTTATCGTATTGCTGGGGGCACGGGTGGCCCAGTCGTCTAAGGCGCCGCGATTCGCTGTGCGGAGTTGCGTCCCTTGGGCACTCCAGAAACCTATGATTGTGGGTTCGAATCCCGGTTCGCCCCGATTATGTTTCTAGGTTTGTCAGCACCATACCCGTGCTCGTGGGTTTCACCGAAGTGGGAAATGTCCGAGATCTGCATCTCTTCAGGCTTTCCTCCCACATTAAGCTGACACGCCGTGATATAACTGGAATACTGTTAAAAGCGGCGTTAAACCAAACTCACTCACTATCGTATTGCTCCGTGGAAACAATGCTTAACTGACCAAATTTGTAAGAACATCCGACGGGCATCGCTCATACCAAGCAATTGAATTATTATATCCCAACCTATAGTGCAAACTAATCCATCCTTGGTGTCTTCAACTATCCTGTTGATGACAAATGTCTGTTTAAAGAGGCATGCTGCGAGACGTGTTCACCCCAAGTAACTTCCATGCTGACGGTACAGAGGGTCCGCCATGTCTCAGCGAATTAAGTTTGTGGAACACAGAATATCGACACAGATGGTTACAGAAGATGGTAGATTCTGGATTGATAGTCCGGGCAAAATAAGGTTTTATTTGGAACAAATTGCAACAGAGTTTTTTACACCACAGTGCATCTACAAAGTCCCAAACCCCGGGACCCGTGAAGATTCCGGGGTAGAACCGGTCTTCAGCAACCCATGCTTGCCGTAAAAGGCGACTATGCTTGTCGTAAAAGGCGACTAACGGGATCGGGTGGTCAGGCTCGCTGACTTGGTTGATGCATGTCATCGAATCCAATTGCGTGGGTTGATGCACATGATATTAATCACTGGATTGTCTGGTCCAGACT